CCAGTACACTGAAGCGGCACTTAGCCTTGTTGAGACGCAAGTTTGCCTTTGCCAGTCGCTCTAGCACGGCTGACAATCGTTCCTTTGCTCTTGTTCCGTGGCACCACTGACAATGATGTCGTCGAGGTACACACAGACACCGGTTAGCCCACTCAAGGTGGTCTCCAGGGACTTTTGAAATATTGCTGGAGCTGCTGCCACATCGAAAGAAAGCCTCTTCACGTTGTACAGCCCTTTTACTGTGTACGGTGAGCAGCTCAGCCGTAGCTGTAGTTACGTGAAGTTGTTGGTAGGCTTGCGCTAGGTTGAGGGTGCTGAATGTAGTTCCTCTCCGCAGACTGCTCAACACTTCCTCCGTTCTTGGCAAAGGACAAGACGCCTTTTTCGTGGCCTCGTTCACGGTGCTGCGATAGTCGCCACAGAGACGAATGCTTCCATCCTTCTTTCTCACCAACACCAACGGTCTCGCCCAGTCGGAATATTGTGCAGGCTCCAAAATACTTTGCTGTTCCAGTCGGTCAATCTCTGTCTCGACGGCGGAACGGAGAGCAAAGGGGACCGGCCGCGCTTTCAGAAACTTGGGGCGCGCTTCATCTTTCAATTCCAGGTGTACCATCGTGTGTGTTTGGTGAATTCCACTGACTTGAATGCCCAGTGGTCCAAACCAGTTTCGTCCAAACAAGTTGCATTCAGCGCCTTGTATCACAAGTAATGGAAGCTGGAAAGTCTTGCTTGAGTGGCTGACACCCACTGTTGCTGTCCCCAGGACTTCAATCTTCTGGCCTGTTCAGGCGCGCAGACGAACGTCACCTATTTGTAAAACAGGTGGCTTTGTAGGCCATGCAGCTCGAAAAGTATCACTGCTGGCCAAGGTGCAAGCGGCACCTGAGTCAACCTCAAATGTCACTGGTTGGCTCTGTAGAGTGACTGTCACTGTGATTTTGGGGGTAGTGGACTCACTTGCTACTGAGTGAAGGTCATGTAATGTTGGCACTTGTTGTTCAGCAGATTGAGGCTCTCTTGGTGTGCCCAAGTAGTTGTTGCGTTAAAACCGTTTCTTCGTAGCTTTCTTTTTTTTTTTAATGCAGGTTTTTTTTTATATGGCCTCGCTTTCAGAAGTAGTGGCACGTTGCTGTCGCGAACTTGCATGAGTTGGGGCTGTGTGCTCCGTCACAGCGCCAACAGCGTTGTCCTTGCCCAGCCTGCGTCTTGTGAGAACTCCTCAATCCTGTGCTGGTTGTGGATTTGTTCACTTCCGAGGGGTCGGATTTCAACTTTTGTTGTTGCCGAACAGCGCTCTCCGCGCAAACCGCGAGATCATAGGACTGGGAAAAAGTGAGATTCTCCCCCGCGAAGAGTCGCTGCTGGAGGTGCTCGGCGCGTAGACCACACACGAGCCGGTCGCGTAACATCACCTTCAATTGCAGCAACGTCGGTGTAGCAACCCTAGCTGCAGTTCCTGTTTGCAGCGTCGTCGTTGCTCCAAAGTTCGCTGTTCCAGTTGCAGGTGGCATCGTTGTTGCGATCGCCGATGGCAGCATTCCAAAATTACACTGCGTGGCTAAATTGCGCAGCGCTGCCACGTAGTTGTTAATTGATTCGCCTGCCACCTGGTTTCGTCGCTGAAACATGGTCCGACTGTACACCTCAGACGGGCGAGGGTCGAAGTGCGCTTGTAACGCACTAACAATGTCGGTGTAGCTCACCTGGTCCGGCGTGCTGGGCCGTAGCAGCGCACACACAATGTCCTAGGTGTGTGGTCCGCATAGCGTGAGCAAGTGTGCCCGTTGACTGATTGGGTCGGTCACGTCGTTCGCTTGGAAATAGAACTGGAGAAGATCGTACCACGATGTCCACGAAGTGCCGTTCGAGCCGCCAAACTCGTCCATGCAGCCGGTGAAGTCATGTGTGCGAGCTGACATACTTGCGTCCGCTTGCGTTGTGGTGTTATCCATGGGGGTCGGATCTTACTCCGTCGCCAGAGTTTACTGAATAATTCCGTTTATTATCGAAAAACGGTGAGCAACGCCAACATTGCGACAACGCACTGGTCGAAACCCGTTTTCACTTCCTCTGCTTTTGTCCAATGCTCTCAACTGCCTTTGGGCTGGCTTCCTTGGGCATAACAATATAATTTGAAAAGGCTCCCTCAAAATCTGGTGCAACACACATGTTCCAGGAAAATAATGTAAAGCGCATTCGTCAAAAATATTTTGCTTTAATTTTATAAAATTCAACATCTTGTCACATTTTATAACTACCCGAGAATGTAGTGAGCCTTAACGTAATTCGAAACTTTCATGACCTATAGGGGGCGATCTAGTTCCCATCAAAATGGCTGTCGTCTGGATGATTGTCGTAGAATAACAGTAACCGCTCATTCACACTGGAAGCGGATCCCCGTTCGCAAAGCGGTTGCGAACGCGGTGCGAACGCGGTTGTATAAAGATCCAATATATTTGCACGCGCCTTTGATGTCATCAAATGCGCGTGCAATTGTACTGGATCTTTATACAACCGCGTTCGTAACCGCTTTGCGAACGCGGATCCGCTTCCAGTGTGAATGAGCGGTAAGAGGCTGGGTCTGCGACACATAAGTAATTGTAGTTTTGCAATATACAAGCTGCATTAGAGCCTTACTTTTTTTTTTCACTTCAGGAAGGTGTAGGCAGGCGCATTTATTGTGAAGTCAATCATCCAGGAGCTAGGAAGCGCGATTCCCACACCGCGGTACCAGCAAAGTTGCGAATATTACACAACCAAAAGACTCAAACAACCTCGCAAGCGCCAGAAGCCTCGTTAAGGAAACCAGCGAGTTCCAGTGCGAAGCGTGTAAACAAAACCCCTCAACCTTAGGTTAGTTAAATCAGCACCTTTGTGTTGTCGACAGTTGGTGCCACTGAGCGACGTGCAGAGAAAACAAACAAAGTGGTATGACCGTCAACGACGGCGGGACAGCTCTGGCGGAGCTTTCCAATGGTATATTTTCCGGGTCAATTTCCAGCCTCTTGGAGCACTGTGAAAAGGTGATGCCCATTCAGCTGGTCGAAGTCGGGCGCTCTAAGCATATTCGGTAGGTTTTTTCAGGGCGCCCTCCGATATTTGGATCGCGCCGTCCTCCGACTCGTAGCGCTGTGAGGCGCTCTGGCTTCGTAGTGAAAGCGATGGGAGAGCGTGCCAGAGGACCGGTCACGTGACTTCAGCCACGTTGTTGAGTTCATAGAAAAAGAAGCCGACACGTACGGCATAGAGGCTTAGCGTCGGACACCGCCGCCTTTGGATACCGAACATATTCCGCTGTGCCGTTCAGTGATTTGCAGGAGGTGCTCGACACTTGACGGGGTACCGCAGAGAAAGCCAGCGTCCGCATCGAAGGCAGCCATTTTTCTTGCGGTCAAGCGGTCATGTGGCGGGTGGAATAGATTAATGGTGTTGACTAAACCCTTAGGATCGGGCGGCAGCTTGTGCTATGGCAGTAGAGTAGTTGCGGAAGTTGTCCTCGATATCTTGTTCGGAGTTAGCGCTCGGGCCTCTCCGAAAGGCGGCCGAGAATTCGGCTGTCGCGCCGTTCGTCTAGCTTTCATTTATAGGCACTCCCGTACCTCCCAGATCAGAATCAGAGGATTGGAGCGCTGAAAAATGAGAAAGCCGGATATACCCCAACAATATTATATTATGTGAATGTTGTCTTACTTCTGTGAGTAAAACAGGAAAACAAATGGGTTGTTTGGATGTTTCCACTGCACCAGTTTAGTCAGTTAGAGTATGGCGATATTGTTGCACGCTGTGGGTAAGAACTTTCACCAGTGCACTACGACTTTTAGCTTTTGGTATTTACCGTGGAATACGCAGTAGCAATACATGGCCGCACGCCGCGGTACGATTTTCATCCAGATCGAAAGGGGTAGGGTATTCCCTACATGGGTGAGAAAGACGGATCAGTCATACGTGCCTAATGGCGAAATACGTACACTGGCGGGAAATGCACTGGCGGGCGATACTCCAGTCACAACATTTTAAGAGACCTCAGAGCGGCCAGTGAATCCGAGCATTTAATTATGCATCGCTCCACACCTTAGCTACATCGTTTATCGATGAAATAACCTAAAAACCAATCCCGAAGCAAGGAACGTGAACGTTGCGAGCCCTGCGGTGCGTCATTTGAACTATTAGTGACTAAACTAGCGAGTCCAAAGCGCTTTATAAGTTCTGAATACTAATGTTTATGTGGAGACATTAAGCAATTTAAATCAAAATGCAAAGTCCCTCTCCCGTCACCAAAAGAAAAAGGCGCCCCTTAGCGTACCCAAAGCAAAACAAAATTATCTACAATTGTGGGCCCGCGCGAACCGCACAAAAATCTTTAGTGGCCGCTATTGATACTAATGAAGTCATTCTTAGAACCTGAAACGAAATCTAGGCCGGGTGCGCAAACCAATTGACAGTTTGATGTCAAACCCTTTGCATGCCTTGAATGTGACATAATATATGGCACCATACCAGCCGCCATTCCTCCAAACATGCCCTGTGCCCGTACCTTCTGAGCATACATTTCAAAACCATCGCATTTGTTCACATCGGAAAGGTCTGCCGAGAAGAAGCTGGATAACCCGAAACGTAGGCTGCTGAAAGTACGGGCACAGGAGCTCGGTAAGGGGAAATCGCGACTGATGTAACGTCAATGAAAGCAAATTATACATCCTTCTTTTGATCCCACATGTGCGTGTTACAATTGAGTAAAGAAAAAAAAAAGAAGCATACGTATAAAAGCAGACGTCCATGCCTCTTTTGCTGACGGGGAAAAACGCCTATCACATGATAATGAAACGCGAGGGTGTCCACATGACATTGGGATTCGGCAATCGGCTATCATTTTGAGACTGCGTGACTATAATTGCTTGATAAGATATTTGATTCCGCCGAGTCTACGTCCCCTGAGACGGTCTTGAAGTATCGTCTCCGGAGAAACCGTCCGCAGGTCAAGTACCTATCTTTGAACGATGTCGGCTGGTAGTTGGGCTAGGCTTCTGCTCCTACCAGCAGCCGCCATTGCAATGCGTTATTCGGTGGACAATTTCAAGCTCTGTCCGGACGGGGGCATGAGGTACATCATGGACGTGGACACGGGCGTTGACGATGCCATGGCACTGATGGCGATGATGTCTTACAACAAGTGCGTCGAAGCCATTACTGTCGTCGCTGGTAACACGAATATGGAGAAGGCGTATTACAACACAATGAGAGTGCTCAAGGAGATTGGACAGACGCAGGTATGTGCACATTAGTAAATATACGAGGGCTGATTGAAAATTTCCAGGTGAGAGTGCCTCTGTTTTTATATGCGAGGTGGTGGATGAACAGTGTTGTGGTCGTGTTTGTGAATCTAATACATCCGCAGGTCGAAACCGACAATTGGACAGGCATAGACTTTAGCGTTCAGTCACAGCGAGTGAAGGTACCTCATACTTTTAGTGTGCATGTTTTTCTTTTTTTTTTTAGCCGAAACTGTTATCTAGAAAACGCTGTGTGAACTTTTCTTCCATAAAACGCCGTGCGTTTGACGGTTGCAATCTGTGCAGTTGGACTCTGTTTAAAGGTGAATTACTTGTGCAGGGGACGATTACGAATTCGTATATTTTGGGGAAGATATTCCTAAAAGCGAGGACAATATACTTTAGTCGTTTCCTTAAACAAAAGTTTACGGGACAATCCCTTTAAGGTTCGCAGGATGGTAGGATGAATTGCGCTAATTAAAACACAAGATTTGTCCTGAGCAAAAAGCTTTTCACGTGCGCTCACATTTGCGACTTGCAGCAGCTGCGCGACCGACTACCAATATTTGACGAGAGACCTCCGACGTTCACCCTGCGGTCGATCGGCGAGTCGCTACAGGCAAGTCGCATGTCGGAGGCTGTCGGGAGCCTCCGTCGATTCCGTCCTTTCCTCTACAGCTTAGGCTCGCGTTTCGCTGCATTCCGATCTCCGCTGTCGCACAGCTACATCTGCGCCGTTTTCGCGATAACAGAAAGATTCGCGATGTTGGCGTCGGTTCTTTGGAGCAGCACAAAGAAAAGCACAATCACTCCATTGACGTGCCCTCCCTCGAGCTTCCACGGTACACTATACGCAAACCGCGAACCAAGCTTTCGTGGCTTTGAACGGACATGTTGGCTGCTTCTTCCGCGCAAATACACAATGCAGGCAAAATCGATGCGCATCACACGTCCCTCTCCTAGGCGCTGCTGATTAGTTCAGCCGCCGGGCGACTCGAGACGACCGGTTCGAAAATTCGGTCTGGAAGACCCTGCCTCGAACCGCGGTCGCTTTCGCTTTTGGACTGTCGCTTTTGCGACATAAGATATATGGCGCGCCTTTGCAATGCTAGTTGCTACTTTGTACCTTCCAAAATGTGTTTTTTTTTTGTGTTTTCTTTTTACTGCCAGATGCGGGTATCCCCTAAAATTATTTTTCTTTTCTTTTCCTTTTTCGGGATTGTAGCGTCTCGGGTTATTCTACTAGAACATCTAATTTATTTAACTGCTCGTCACATGGCCAAATATAGAATAACGACGCAGACGCGATGTTGGCGGCTGTTCCGGCCGCCGGTCCCAAGTCGTCCCAGTGCTGTCTCCGTGTGCAATCTTGCGCCGTATTCTTGTATACTCGTGTGTATAGGGTTACCTCGCGGTGGCGTGAAGTTGTGCAATCACGAGGCAATACGACAGCGAGACTAGAGAGGAGTATCCGCGGTGCGATGGTGAGCCATGGGGCTATTATCCAACGTTATGTAACCTGGATATTGCGGGGAACTGGTGCAAGCTTGTGTCAAGTTCCGCCGACGACGCGGCGCATTAATAGGGTAACATAATGCGATGCTCTCAGGAGCCGTTCCAGTCGAGCGGAGAGATGTTCTCTCAGGAGCCGCTGTGTGTCGGTGCGTAAATGGCCACAGAATAAAGAAGTGAGCTATCAAAGCAATACATAATGTTTTTTTTTTTTTTTTTTTTTTTTTAATATGAATGCTCTTATGAAGTAGAAGATACTGTGTAGTTTTCTTCCTTTGGCTGCTAGCGTAGAGAGGTCGACGGGTATGGGTTTGTAGAAAATAGACCAAAATTGAACTTGCGCCGGTTGGTTAAGTGCGTTCAACTGCTCGCCCGGTGTTACGTATTAATGAACGCCATTAAATTGCAAATTTTGCTGTGGGTTTTAGGGGCTGCGAGTGGTTTTTCAACGATAATCCGGTTATAAACAGCCCTGGAAACGCTTGAATGTTTTCCGCGAAGAATTCAATAACGCTTTTCTTTAGACATCATGTTTGTTCTGATAGAACAAGCATTTTCTAAACGCGAAAAAGGGTATAATCCGCCATCTCTAACGCCGCCATTAAATTGCAAACGCTCTTCATGGTTTGAGTTGAACACACTCTTAGTTGTGGCTCTCTAGCAGACGTTCACAACGGGGACTCCCCTTGATTTCAGTAATCGTGGAACACGTTTATTGATACATCAAGCACACTCATAATGCTGGGCTTGGTCTGAACCTCGGCAACATATTTTCATCGCAGTAGTTACCTGACTGGCGCATAGCGCTGACGGACTTATCATGATTAGTTTGATTATTTTAGGTTTTACTGTGCTCGCAGCTGTGAAAGTGATTCATGTCGTTTTCGTTTAATCGTGTGATAAAAGTGTTTCTCTTGTAGCACAAAACTAATCAGTGAGTGGTAATGAGCCACATTGAAAACTACAGGCTGTCAAGAAAAACATTGCACGTTAAAATGGCTCGCAAAATCAAGATCTTTGCGGATGTTGTAGAAACTTTTCTCAAAATGTGCTTAACTGGTCACATTCTTGTGCTAAAATTTAAAATCAGAACTCCGAACACAAAGAAAATAATAAAATAAAAACATATTTTTCCAAAGGCGGAGCGGCAGCTGTCGGGGAAACACCGGACGACGGCCATGTTTCTTTGCCTTATCCAGAGATGGCGCTACTGATTCACTGGACGTAAAGCCCCTCTATCCTGGGAAAAGTGGCGCCATTCACTGTGGTCGAAATGCTCGAGGCACGTGCCGCGCGCCATTTCTGGGAAATTCATGGCGTCTGAAATCTAGCTCAGGGCTGCGCTACAGTAGCTGCGCTGTGCCGCCATGGTCTTCCCAAGGGCTGCACATCGCACGTGCCTCGTACAGCTCCAACGGAAAAAGAGTAGCACAAGTGACCGATGACCGGAGCGGCAAAATCGCGACACGCGGCGCTCTTGTTCCCAAGCGTGCTGATAGCGAGAGTGCCAGTCACGTTGCATGTCTCAACGCGGGGGTGGCCGGCAGAAAATTGAGAGATAAGATAGCTTTTAAAATGAGGGCTTTAGGATGGGCTGTTTTTTTGCCGGCCACCCCTCCGTTGAGACATGGAACGTGACTGGCACTCTCGCTATCGGCGCGCTCGGGAACAATAGCGCCGGGTGTCGCGATTTTGCCCCTTCGGTCGTCGGTCACTTGTGCTACTCTTTTTCCGTTGCAGCTGTACATCGACGCACTTTGCGCTACTTTTGAAATATGAAGGGGCTTTAACTGGACGCTCTGACGGGACGCAGAGCCGTATATTGGGATAGTTTGGCCAATGGGCGGAGCAAAGGCCACCGCCAGCGCCGAATATGACCCCCGTGTTAGAGCGTAAACTAAAAGGACGACACAGCGTCGGCTAATCAGCAGACTGCAACGTCACAATATTAAAAACGACACTTAAAGCATAAAATTGAAAGGTTTCAACTTGGCGTCTCGGTGACAGTTTGCTCTGGGCCAGCTTGGTAGAACATGGTAGAACAGCGTCTTAGCTAGCTGAGACTGGCTGAAAGAAAATTGTGTAAATGCTGGAGCGCGCGAGCGTGTCGAGAAGCAAATTGAGTCCCGCTCAGCTCGTGCGCTAGCTTTGTCAGTGCTTTCTTTCCTCAAGCCTCAGCTGAGACACCATTTCTAGCAAGTCGGCCCTGCATGCTTTGGAGCCCACGTTCGTTCATTCTGCCGTTGAGTATTGACGTGACGAAAACCTCACATGCGCCAAGTTTTCAGTCACCGAGAGTTATACCTTTTCACTCTAGCGACGCTAAAACGACTTAAATCAGTCGTGTCGCATATTTAGAGCTTACGACCACCGCTAGGGGTTGTTTCGCGGCCTGTGCTTGACCCCGAGATGCTCGCCTACTCAAACCAATGTATGACCAAACTCTCCCAATAAACGGCTCTGACTAGACGCTGACGGGACGCGCCGAGCGAAAAAGCGCGCTTTCATCCGAGTTTTTGGTTCCGTGGGATATTTGGCAAAATAAAGTTGTTTGGTTTTTCAGTTAAGTTTCACAATCCAGAAAGTGTCGCGCCATAAATATTCATAAATAAAAGCGCCCAATGTCTGCTCCAGAAATGACTTACCTTCGTCTGCCACGGTTCTTGTTTCGCGCATCGTCTGCTTTCGCAGTTTAACGTTCGTATGACACTCGAGAGGCAGCCAGGAGAGCGCCCGAAAAAGCAGCGATTTGGTGGCTCTGAAAAGAAACGTCGAAATCTGAACCGCGGTCTTCGTAGTTGCAGTCAAATGCGTCATTCACACACACATACACTTCCAAGAAAAAGAAAAAGGACTCCCAGCTTGACGTGCCCGCCGCGAACTTCGATACATTTTTCCAGCCTCCTCTTGTATATAGTCCTGGAAGACGGGCTCCCGAATTTCACCACAGATGACCTCGAATGCGTCGATGATGTGTTCTTTCAGCTCCGGAATGGTCCTCGATCACCGGGTGTACACTTGGGCAGTTACATACTTCGGCCTCCTCGGCCACCTTCGGCCGAGGAGGCCGAAGATAACTTAGCCTCCTCGGTCTGGAGACCGAGGAGGCCAAGCCATTTTCAGGGAGCCGCGGCCCATCCGTCTCCCGGGAAACTTGTTGTTGAGTCAGGCTCTCACATGGGTTGCATAGTGGGGAGGGGCGCCATGACTGTTAAAATATGCAAGCTTAACGCTGCATATGTGCAGATTCCAGCTTTGGTAAAATCTCTTTCTAAGCATCTTGAGGTACGTGTCACCCGTCACCGTCGAGTCGAAAAAGAACAAGCCGGCGACACCCTCTCGCAATATGCCGCTCTACACGACGACTTTCGGCGACTGGTTCGCCGAAAGTCGACGGCGACTGGCAGTCCGGGTTCGTGCTTGACCACAATCTGCAGTTCTCCTGTTGACGCGGCCGTCTAGGTGAAAAACATACTCTTCCGTAAACAAGAGGAATTGCAGGTGGCCGGGGTTGGCCTGAATCCGCGCCAGCTCGTCCTCACAAAACTTCACTCGCCATGCGTAGTCCTCCGGCTTCAGTTCGCGCAGGAGCTGCACTTCGAAAGGGCACATTCGCCGGTGAAGCGCCCGCCACACGAAGTCCCGGCATAGACCGAGCTGACGAGCAGCCCGCCTAGGTGGGGCTCCGCTTCGAAAGCGTCGAGAACGACTCGCTGCTGTCTTTGTTTCGGCGACGTGTCTACACGATTCGGAGACTTGTTTGTCACATTCACGTCTTAAACCTTGTCACCCACTTGATGATAATGGGCCGAGAGGGCGACCTTTTGTTGAAGGCGGCCCGGCACTTTGTTCGCACTTGCTTGAAGCGTCCTGTCGTGTACCAGAGTACCACCCGGAACCTCTACTTGGAGCTCAGTTGTCGCATGGTGAGGCGTTGAGCAATATAGAATAAGAAACAGCGATAAGAAATTAAGTTTACGCACTGAGGCAAAAGCGCGAACGTCGAACTGCGAAAGCAGACGAAGCACGAAACAAGAACCGTCGCAGACGAATCTGCGGTCATTTCTGGAGCAGTATTTGGCGTTTTATTTAGTCATATTTATGGCGTGAAACTTTCTGGATTATGAAACTTAGCTGAAAACCCAAAGGACATTATTTTGGCGAATATTCCAAAGAAACCAAAACATCGAATAAAAGCGCGCTTTTTCGCTTGGCGCGTCCCGTCAGCGTACAGTTAAAGGGGCACTCAAGTGATTTTTCAGGAAGCTACTTTTTGGTGCGATGGCGCTAAGGAGGTGTCAGTGAATGAGTATCTTCAGTTGTAGAAGGCAGAACCGCCTATTAATCACGCAGGAATAAAATTCGTGCGGAATCTTTTCTGTTCCTGCGCCGACCAATAAAATTATCGAATGTTTGAACATTTTGGCGGCCTTTGTAAAGTTTCGCTAAAGAAACGATTTTCAGTTCATTTATATATGTTGTGCATGATAATTTCACAAGACTTAAAATATTTCTAGTTTAGAATACGCGATACTGCAATTATCGTTTCACAAACAAGGGACTACGTTTTCTCCTTGCCTTCCTCCGCGGGGGGTGAATTTCCAGTTCCCTCGAGATGCGCGGAAGCGCACGTATCGTGAACTCGCGCCTCGTTGCATGCCGGCCATGCAGGGCTCCTTCTATCTTCCAACATGGCGTCGGTGGTGATCGTCGACGTGGACGGCGTGGTAAAAGCTCATCGTTCCGCGTAAAAACGCTATCCTTGACTGTGAATTTTCGTTGTGTGTCGCTATAATAACCCAGCACGTACTGGAAGGGAAGATCCACCTACTCGTGCGGCGATGTCGTGGCGGCACTCTCAAGACAGCAGAAACGCCCGCGCCGTCGCGTTTGTTTACTTCGACTACAGTGGTGCTTTCTAAGCATTTGTTTCCTCGAACATCGCCCGGATTTCTTATTTGACGCATTTCATGCGTGTGCTCAAGTTCAAGGTATTACTGGCGCGTATCGTATAAAGGATGCGATTGGTCACGCGTTCTCATCACCGGAGAAAAGTGATTATTGTTAGCAATCCTGAACGCTCGCAACGTTTATCTGATCACGAAATTATATTTCTACGTTGCTATATCGCTGCTAAGATTACATGTCTTTTATAATCGCAAAAAAGGCGTGTGGTGATATTTGTACTATTGGCAAAGTCGTGTGTTAAAGTCGTGATCGTGCAAGATGTCGCACTGCTTCTTTTTCTTTTTTTTTTTTTCATCCACTGTACCCTGCAAGCCTATCATGAAAAAAATAATAAAGCTTTCGGCTATAGAAAGCTCTCTGTCTATATTCTGTTATAACTTATAAGGCATTGAGTGGAAGTGCACCCCCTTTTTAGAGGCGCCGCGGCAACAGCTGATGGCGGCGTAGAAGCGGTCGCCGTGCTGCCGACCCGCTGCGCTTGTTGCAGTGGTTGCAAATGTGTGTGTACGCGCGGCGCAGAGCGGTCGTTCCGGTCGCTCCGGTTGCAACGGACGCAGTCGTAGCTGACGCGCTCGTTGCACATGTCTGAAACAGCCTGCCGTCCTCCCGAGGCGAAAGTCAACGTGACGACATCGTTTGACATCACGTACCAGAGGTAACGCTGCGATGCCAAACGTTTGTTTGGTTACAGATTGCCCCAACCGCAAATCGAAGAACGCCCGAAAAGGTCTGCGTTTCGTCGTCCTCGGAACCCGAACACGACTCCGAAGCGCTGCTATCGTCCACATCGCACGTCGGAGTGGCGTCATAGGAAATCATCCCCACGTCGGCTGTCCGCCGAAGAATTTCAACCTCTAACGGCGTCAGGTCCTCGAGCGTAGAGAACTCCGCCATGATCAAAGCTCGAATGACAAAAGAGGTTCGGCCGGTGCGCCTATCCCGGGATCACAGCGCGACGGAACGTCGTCCAACGCCATTGGTCCGACATCGTTTTGATATGCGAGTGGATGGATCCGAGGTTTGGCGGCCTTCAATTACATTTTTATTAGAGAAATAATCACGATATGACAATATTTTTTGGTTTTTAAAGATACTTAGGGCGGTCTAGATTCAGTTGTCATCATCGAAACACGTACTCAAAAATCACTTGAGTGCCCCTGACACTACGGATTCACGTCCAGTGAATCCGTAGCGCCATCTTCGGATAAGGCCATGAAACATGGCCGTCCCTCGGTGTCTACCCGATAGCTGCCACTCCTCTGAAAAAACAAACAAAAAAACGGCACACAAAACGAGTTGAGAGCGAAATTGTTTCTTTAGGCTTCGCTCGAGATTTTTTTCTTTTTTTGGTTTACATTTATTTTTAGGTGTAGAATTAACGCTTCTTCCTATCGCACGTCGAAGGGTCGTCTCTTAAACCTTGATCTTGAATTTTTAAGATTCCAGTTTACAAGGGAGCTGACAAACCCATCCTCGGGCAATGGGAACCCGAAGAGGTCTACTTTGGCTCCGACAACTTCGGAAATGTGGCCTCGAGGTATGCCATCGGGAAGAACGCGGCTCGAGATAATACCTTCGCACCGTTCAAGTTGATCGAGTTGATTAAAGAAAGCCCGAACCAAGTAACGCTCATACTGCTTGCACCCTTGACGAACCTTGCCATTGCGCTCTTGGTTGATCCCACCATAACGAGAAATGTGAGAGAAATCTTCATCTTGGGGGGAAACATCGAAGGTAAGCTGCAATTCTTTGATCCTCTATTGAGAAAACAGATGTATTCAGTAGTGACTCACGCAATCGACCACTCAGTTCAGTCAAGTGCCGCGTTGTTGGCTCACTGCCTCAGTTACGATGACGTCATAGCTTGCTGATATTGAAAGACCGGGGAAGTCGTGGAGATACACTGAAAAGAAAGCCAACATTGGATAGTAGTGTGTGCGCAGTAGACTCCGCTTTCGAGAGTGCAAGCACACAAAATTGTTTATGCATCTTCAAAAGCGGGAATCTGTTGTTTGCCTTTTGGGAATCATTTTAACGCTCATCTTCGACGCGGGTTTCTGTTAGCGATCATTCTTATTTTTGCTTGTTCGCGTTATAATCCAGGAAAATTGGGTCTCTGCTGGAAAATCTTTTCCCCACAGACCACATGACGAAAATACCAATTTCACAAGTCTTTGGGCAAAGAATAACTTCATTTTTATTAAAAATGTTCCCATATACTTTCGTGTTTCGTATGAAAAGACCACATTTTCGAGGACGGGAAAGGTACAATTTATTCAGGATCGCTTTTACCGAAAACAAACGTACACCGTCGCGTGAAGAAAAGAAAACAAGTGAAATACCCCAGTTTTTTTTAAGTTTTTTCTTTCCATCTTTACGTTGGAACATTTTCGGTTAAGACATGGTTGAGTCAAAAGGGCGTTCTCGTTCCCTGGTCTATGAATTGTTTATTGTGCAAGAAGCCCAAGTCTATAGAGCATGAGTTTTTAGACTGTTGGGACGAAGTTTTTTGTACCTGGATGTACTGCAGCGTACTCTAAAAAATGATATTTAACTACTGATGGGATATGTTTTCTGCCGATTGACTCAGCGGATCGTTTGCTGTATGATTTAATTCTGTTGCTTGGCTTACACATCGGGAAAGCCCAATGGCAGTCCGCCGTCCCGATGTAGGTGTAACAACCTGTGCGCCCAAAGTTTTTTTTAGAGCGTCACACAAATTTGTGAATATTATCAGGTGCTGATAGAGGTCCCAGATTGGTTGACTGTCCTCGACGGGCTGGTCACGTTAAGATTAATTTATTCAATTAGTGCTGGCCGTAGCTCGGCTGGTGTGGTGAAAACATGTTTGCCCGCATGAGTCGTTTGTGCACTGAAAATATTCTGGCAAGCTCGCGCTGCTGAACCCATACATCCTTTGTTCAATCCGCACCTCGGTTTGGGGGTTCGTGTATCACTACTGTGTGATGCATGTAAAAGACCCCAGGTTAGCAGTGCGACAATCGCGTGGCAACCCCTTTCGGCCTAACTTCCGATGGCCCGCCAGTCTCGCCGGGCTACATTGATCACCACCATGAGCAAAGGCGCTCGCGGGCACTCATCGTCCACCATCACGAGGCTGCGGGTCTTCTCTTTTCTCGGCGGGCGCCTCGACCCCCTTGTCCGGGATCCCGGGCGATCGTGACAAGTGGTTGTACTGCACTGGCTAAATTTCTCATCTACAGCTGCGTTACCAGTCGCTCATTGGGGCTTACTTGGAGCTGTGTAAACATACTCACAACACAATTATTCTACTATGGGGGAGCATCTGCTGGTCTGATAGATGATACCGTTGTGAGGAAAGGAGATTTGTGTAGATGTCCTGTTTCGCGGATTATAAAGGAGAGTCAAAGTCAATAAGTGGGTGCAATGGAACCATAGCCTCGAATATGCGTTTATACTTATTGTGTTAAGATGGCCGACAACAACTATATTTTAAAAATATACAGGACGCGGCAACATTAGGCCTGGATCCGAGTTCAACTTCCTGGTGGATCCAGAGGCCGCCCAGGTGGTTCTCGATCGAGCGGAATGCAGAGTCACCATCGTGCCCTGGGAGGCAGTTCTCAAGTCCACCCTGCCATGGGTAATCAACGGAATCCAGTTATTTTACACGTTGACACGGAAATGCCTGAATAAGTGTTTATTTGCTCGAACAAAAAGAAGTTGCGCAAACATATTGTCCTCGTTTCTTTTTTCTTTTTTTTTTTTTAAGTGCGCTTGACAATTTAAGAAACATACGGCGTGTACAGCCGGGAGTTCTTTGCCGTAGCTCTACAGTCACTTCAATTCGGCATTAGCCAGAAAGAAATCCCGAAGAACGAATCACGAGGCTAGAACTGCAATGACAATTCGCCACTCCAGCAAAATGAACGGCACCTAGCGGGAAAACACTGAACTGGCCGGAACAGCTCCCTTCGCGATTTCTGCCCGTCTCTTCAGGCTTCAGTGTTTCCATGTTGTCGGTGGTTTGCGCGACAGAACAGTTCGACCGGTGACTGTGTCGTAACCGTAGTACCGCCTTGTGACCCAGGTTGCTCTGCACGCGACCTATGGAACCGCGTGAGCCAGACAGATTCTGCGTTTCTCAACGTTCATCAGCACCGTGGAAGGACAGTGGGCATTCCTTTCCTGGTTTCCTCGAAGAAAGTCCAGCCTCTGAAAGTTCGCTTACCCCGCCACATCGCCGCAGGTTCGAAACGTGGAAGATAAAACGCGGGGGAACCAATTTTGAGTCCAATGCTTACTTGCTGGTGCCCCAGTGTATTGCGTTCAGCTGGCACATGGCACGGCACGACCTGGATTCGACCGCCATATTTGCCCGATAGTGGCGTCCCCTGTAGGTCACTGGAGTCGCGAATAGCCCTCGCTGTGATATTACTAGGCTCTCAGTGATTTTTAAACTTTTACTGCCTCCCCCCCCCCCCCCCCCCCCCTTCCCAAGAAAGAAAAATGACGAAAAAGTTATCCGCGTGTGGAGTCACTCAGAGCTACAGGAACGCAGCACGTGACATATTATGTTCACACTTATTGCTCTCTGATTCGTTTTCGGGTGGTCTTAGCGGCTTGTCCCGCAGTCTCATTTGCCCCTCAAATATGTCGTTGAAATCGCAGATGAAAAAAAAATTGAAATCAACTTGTGAATTTTTCTTTTTATGTTCTCTCGATTCAAGCATATATGTGTGCGGATGTGTTTTTATATTTCTTGACGTCATCGTATTTATCAAATTACGAATGTGAACATAGGATATTTAACCGAGCTATATGGTGATTCTTTATACATATGCCGAGATCAATGTCTTCGAATATATATATATATATATATATATATATATATATATATCACATTATGTATCAAGTGTGTCCTTGCCTGCCTTTCTTTTCTTGCAGTACCATTCGTATCCGTCTTTGTACAATGACAGATAAGCGCGCTTTGATGTATACTAAATAAATCAATTTATTTATTCGAGGTAGCCTTTAGAGCTGTAGGTATTACAGAAGGAAGGATACATAGTCAAACAAATGCAGACGCACATGGAATACAGCTTAGGCAACAAATTAAACATGATCCGCAAACAATACAACAATAAAGGATAGTTTTACAATGCCACCCAAGCAAACAAAAAATTAAAAAAAACGACCATAATATTGAGGAAAGGTAAAAAACGCAGGCGACTTGAAATAATCAAGCCCTGCACTCCATAAGCAAGCTGCCGGCGTCTGTATCTACTTACGCCCCTTCTCAAATGATTCACCCGCGGGTGCAGGCTTCATCCCTGGCTCTTTTCTTGTTTTGAAGGGCGTATTTAACAGCACAGTGGAAGGACAAGGCAAGAAGGCCAAGCTCGTCAAGGCCCTGACGAAGCACACCATCAGCTGCTGTCTCGGAAACGGACAAAGCCCTGGTTTCGTCCTCGGAGACTTCCTCGCGGTTCTTGCTGTAGTCGATCCTGCTTCAGTGCACAAAAGGCTGCGTCACCGCGTGGCTGTGGAGCTGACCGGTTTTCACACTAAAGGGATGCTTGTGCACGGATGGACAGCCGACATGCTCCCCCATGTGAATCGAACGGTGGACATTGTGGACTGGTTCAACGTGAGGAACATTGAGAAGGCGTTTACAAAGACGTTTGGCTTTGTTCCGCCGGCTATAGCGAAGAGAAAGCACATTAAATATTAGCAGGGGTGTAGGAAATGGGAGAGAGCCTGGGCTGATTTTGAAGTTGTGCCAATTTTTGTTTCTGTAAAGGAGGGAAATTGAAACTTCAAGAACAAACCCCAATAATAATCTCGTCGGGAGTGTCCAGACTAGATAAATCTTTGTGTTTCTGCTCATTTTTTTTCACTATCTGCCCTATTAGAAAAAAAAAAAAAAACGTTTTAAGAAGTTTGAACATTTGGACGACAAGTCATCCAAAATAAATATAAAAAATTAAAATGTATTATTTTCATGGGTATTGGTGCCTTCATCTCATTGCTCGCCCTTTCGCGGTGGAAACGGGAAGCGCTCGAGCGAAGGTCCCCCGGTTCCCCTGCAAAGCGACCGCGGTGGAGCTGCTGGTAGTGATGGATCACGAACAGCTATTTCTCAATGCAAACAACACTCCTCACTACCCCAGTGTAGTGGTGCAGCCCTTGTCGGATTGGACCATACTGTTTCGCCTATTTTCCAACGCCAACGGAACATGCCGCAGTGAACATAAGTGCAAGCGAGTAGGCGTTCCTTCGAACTAGAAAGCCTACTATTGGGGAAACGACTTCGTGTAGGAGTTATAGTTAAATAATGTTTTGGGAAATTTTGTAATTAGGAAAAAAAAATAAAAACGAAATCCTGTTTGATTTTTGGCACATGAACTCCGAAAGAATTGGCGGGGAACTTGGATGATTGGCCGATTGTGAAGGGTCAGGTTATAATTAATGTAACTTGAGGTGGATTTGCCGAACTAGCTGTACCTGTTTTCACCTCAGCAACCGTAATAAAAAAAAAAAAAATTTGGCGACGATCGCACTACGAGATGGGTTTAGACAGCAACAGCTGTGCTGCTTATTCGGCGATGTTACGATAACGCTCGATTGAAATTGCGTCGATCGTGCGTTATACGGTGATCAGATATTGAAATGACGTTGCGTTCATTGAACGTTGATACGTTATTGATGCATAAATGATTTTAAGGTCGACATGTCTATTCCACCGAAATATAGCGGGGAAAATAAATTGGTGTTAACTGTCTCAAAGTCCCATGTCGTCTGGTCACGTGGCATAAATTGTCCCGCCAAATTCGCCGTGGAAACTGAAATAATAGATATTGGTCACGCGACGAAAATTTTTTACGCCAAATTTAGCGTCGAACTTCAATTCGTTTGTAGGCCCTGTGACGTCGGGTCACGTGACATCAACTTTCCCGCTAAATTTAGCGGGGAAACTGAATTGGTGTCTAGGCCACGTGACGCAACAGTTTCCGCTAAATTTAGCGGGGAATCTGAATTTGTTTGTAAGGTTCCGTGACGTGAGGCCACGTGAAATAAATTTTTCCGACAAATTTAGCTGGTAAACGTTTACGCTCAAGCTGTCGCGAAACCGGGGGACGGGCCACCAACAGCTTCCGCTGTAAGAGAGTTCCGGCTCCTCCCTGAGGATTAGTAATTTCCTCCTTTCCGTGAATTATTCAGATTAATGTACGTGCCTTTCAGATTAGATACATGTTACCTTAGCAAGGCGTGCATAAGTCAAACGCCAGAAGCATCGCATCCTTCCTCCGGCAACCAAATTTTGCAAGAACTACTTCGCGAGACGCATGAACAATGCCCAAAACTGTCTTTTTAATTGAGGTGAAAAAAAGTATTGAGTGTTTAAATTAAATCCATACTACTTTTACCTTATACCTCGTTAATTAAAATGCAGCATTTGGCACCTGTGTGCAAATCATTTAGGATCCCGTATGTGCGTCTGAGTTGTAGAGCAGAAAGCTATGATTTTTTATAGTTTTTTTTTTTAAACGTCGTCATCCGCGTTGTTTCTGTACAGCCGCTCGAAATTACTGTGGTGGACACGACTGACTGTAGCATTGACAAGCGTCGGCTTCCCTTCGTTTCATGCGTGGTATCTTTCGCTTAACTTTGCCAACTAATTGGCAATCCAGAGGAGGACCAATTAAACTACAAAATGTGTACTCTAATACCAACTGACGCCTCGGAACAAAACCGTGCTAGGCCCAAGTTATGCTCCTAAGAATTCTTGTGCCAAGTTAGTGTACAAGCTTGGCACGAGTGTGTGCCAAGCTTGTACCAAGTTGGGGGGCGTTCCTCTGGAACTGAGCCAAAACCCTGAAAAAGGTATGCGAGTTTGCTTTCTTGCAGGAATGCGAGCCTACTAATTACTACTAACAATAACAGGGCCCTAGCGAATTACGAAGCTCAGGATATGAATGGCTAAAAAAAAGAGAGATGCGCACATCCTTACAGAAATGTCATATCTGGACTTATATTAAAAAATACAGATATGGATACATAAGGAATTGGGCAAATATGGCCCTATATGCACAATCAGGCCATATCTGGATGGATATAGCCATATCTGCCCAATTCCTTATATACCCATATCTGCCCAATTCCGTATATACCCATATCTGCCCAATTCCTTATATACCGTATATAGACTGCTTTATATGATCCCGTTTTTGGGTCTGGCAGATAGGGTACCCACCCCATAAAAAGAAATTTTCACGTGATGCTCCTTCTAGCATCACATGAAAATTATTGCCATGGGGCAGGTACCATACTTTCCAGGTCCAGACATGGGATCATATAATGCATTTCTATGAATATCCACATAATATACATTTTGCTGCTATCCCACACTGCCAAACGTGTGCTTACGTAGATATATCTACAGAATAGGCCACTGACCAATCCTTATTGCTCTGGTTCGGAATCTGTCATTCCGACAAATATGTATGCTACAAATATAGAATGCAGGCGATCGCTAGCTCGGAAACACTGTAACATATCATTCGACGTCGGAAAGTAAACAGCCCTTTGGCGGGATTGGTTGTCGAGGGAGCAGACCGAGAATATAGTTTGCAAAAGAAGTTTTATTTATAAAAGCGCCAAAACTCTAAACAAGTACTTCCCCCGTTCAAGAAAAAATGATAAGAAACAAAACTGTAATATAGCACAGACAAACATTAAAATAGACTAAAAATGTAATAGTACAAAGACACCTATTAAAATAAAACAAACGGAAGGCAACAATTAAGTTGTAAACTATACGAAAGTTTCAAAGTCGTTGATTCCTACTCACAGAATCACAGTCCTGATTCAACTCTCCGGTCGAGCACAGCAGTTTTGACAAGGGCTTCCTTGCTAGCCTCGTCGTTGAAGTCCTTCCTTGCACCGAGTGATATGTTCAAAGCCCCCAGTCGCTCCTCGCTGGCCTTGCTTTTCCGTTCGGTCGCCAAATCTTCCCGTGTGATTAACACGTCACACACGCACACAGACACAGCTGTTCGCCGCGGAAGCAATACAAGATGAAAAGGTCATACTGCTCCTTGAACACGACGAGGTCACCACTGTTTCCCGGACTAGGAAATGACGAGGACATCATATCTTTTACTAAAACTTCATAAAAATAAAAAATAAAATAATGAACACATAAGAAACAAAAACAAAAGGACTAAATCATGAGAAAAAATGAAATAATGAACACACAAGTAAAAAGCATAAAAACACGAAGGACTTGCACAGGCAGCCACATTTGTTCAATTAACAATGACATTAAATTCTAATAAAAAAAATATTCCTGCTGCGCTAAAGATCACCAATATGGTGTGTAAACTAGGCCACCTTGAGCAAAGCAGGAATATTTGTGATCATAATCAAATGCCATTGCGAACTCAAAAAGTGTGGCTGTCTGCGTAAGTCCTTTGTATTACTATTCTTCTGAATTCCGTGTTCATTATTGTGGCTGTTTGGGACCAGGCGGAACTTGGTGCTTTTTCCATTCTGACCTTACTTCGGACAGTTTCGTACCCATAGAAAAACCCACTAGCTTCTCTACATAATCACACTCCTCAAAAAAAGAAAAAAAAATTGCGTGTATGTTTGCACAGTCGGAAGTTAGCTTGCCTCAGTGGGCGTCTGCTGTCTCAGCTGTAGAGTAATTTAACCAGCGCGGTACAACCGCTGGCCTGGGGTCTTTAACGCGCACCACGCAGTAGTGACACACAACCGCACGCCATAATGATGCTCATCCAGATCGAAACGGGCAGGGGCGGGGATCCACTCCTTCTCTTTGCTTCCCTTGAGGCACTGACAAATAAAAATCAAAGGTTGGGTCAATTATGTTAACGCAATATACTTCAAACACGTAGCATGAGTGCTGGCAAGATATTTGCTGCCTTCAATCTAGATAACCTTGGAAATTAACATGCTAAATAACAAGTAACTTAAAAGCTGAAATATATTTCGATAAAACTACAAAAACCGAAGACTAGCTCTGCAAGTATAGTGCTATCTAGTACACCATAATTGAGTAGAATCGGATTACAGCGTCCCCCTTACAAAGACTGGAGCAAAACAAGTATAGACTCTGCCGTGCCACTACAACAGAAACAATGGTATTGTGATCTCGTGGAGATCAGAGTTCGAAAAAATTGTCACAGGCTTTGGCACGACAAATATTCCAATGTCATTATTCATTTTTGCATATTCTACGGTGACAGTGCAGGGAAACAATCACACACCAGATACTCAGAAAGACAAGCACACGCGCTGAACGTATAACTCTTGTGTATTCGACTAATATAGATACCAAAAACAGGCGAGACACTACCTTAATTGAGGACATGCATGTACACTTCCCTAGAAACGTGTAATTATTACTTCAAAGCCTCAAAAAAAAAAAAAAACACCAGTAGGAAGAGAATAAATGCTTCACCATATAAAGCAGCCTGAGTGTTTCTGGAGGTGTGAAATTCGTTATACGTACGTTGGATCATATGAAACACGTCTACAGCAAATGATCTTTAGAGCTCGACATTTCGCGAGGAAAAAATGCCAGCGTCAAAAATTTTTTCGCGGGCATAAATTCTTGCGATCGGAAGTGGTATGCTATGCATTAATCACCACGGGGTGAATTCATCGCGGCACCAATTTTTGGCAATTTTTTTCTGGGTACGAACT